GTGTTCTACAACTCGGAGTACAGCATGCCCTCCACCCACGCCATGTCGGGCACCGCCATCCCCCTGGCGCTCCTGCTGCTCAGCTACGGCCGCTGGCAGGTAATGCTCACCTCCTTGCCCTTCTCCCTGTGTTTCCCAGCCCCGGGGTATAGGGATGCGGCAGAGTCGATCTCTTTTGGGAGGGGAGGCAGCTGAGTGAGTTCGGGAAAACGTGAAATTTGTGCCTTTTTTTTTACTTCCCCCCCCCTCCCCTTCCTACTCTTTCTATGATCCACGCGAGTGCTCAGGTAACAAGAACTATAATAATTCTGTCTTAGGAATGGAAGTTCTGCTGACTTTTTGAAGGGTCAGCTCAGTGTGCATTAAAAGTCTGCGTTAACAGTCTGCATTTTGTTCTTGTCAGTTTTCTTTTTTAAACTTCTCGTAGGGTGAGTGCTTTGCACAACCTCCCCTTCCTACTCTTTCTATGATCCACGCGAGTGCTCAGGTAACAAGAACTATAATAATTCTGTCTTAGGAATGGAAGTTCTGCTGACTTTTTGAAGGGTCAGCTCAGTGTGCATTAAAAGTCTGCGTTAACAGTCTGCATTTTGTTCTTGTCAGTTTTCTTTTTTAAACTTCTCGTAGGGTGAGTGCTTTGCACAAAGTTTGATAAGCATCTGATGTTTCTAAAGGCGTTTGGGTTTGCTGACTGAAAACTTGGTGGAGAGACGGGCTTTTTGCTGATCCTTCTTTGCTTTTGAGTCACTTTGTAGAGTTAGTCAGATGGTAGCTTTAGACTTTTCTTCAACGCTTTTAGTTTCTTACCCGTGAAGTGGAAATGATTATTTCTGTTCTGAGGAGTCCATATACCTTCAAGTGGTTTTACTGTTATCAATGTGCTAATAATTAGCAGGACCTGATAATCTCTGATCTTTTCAGTACCTTCATTCAGCACAATTTTAACATCTACTGAGTGCACTTCGGTCAATAAATGAAATAACACCGTTGATTATATGAGACGTGTTTTAGTGCTTGCTGTTAGCAGTGTGGGCAACAGTAAGAACTCCAAAGAAAGCACAACATATATTCTGCTCTCTAAATCACTGCACCAATTTCAGTAATAAATGAGGCAGAAGGCTTTCCCAGGCAACACATGTTCAGTGCAGGGTTTTGAGGGCTCTGTGTGTGATGTTAAAGAAGTTATGCAATAAGTCTACTGTTAAGTTGTTAATGTTTACAAATTCTTACTATAATACCTGCCTAACTTAAGTCAGATGTTTGTCATCTTGGTAGAGAGAACTCTCTCTTTAAACTTTACTCGTGGGCTGAACTCTTGTCTTCCCAGTTACTGTTAACAATTACCAGTTCTGTGCTGTTACAGCAAGACACTTGGTTTTCTCTCAGGTAGTTGAAAGTTACAGATTGTATTTCACCTCTCTTTAACCAAAGTTACTACTGCAGGGTGATACAGCATGCCCAAAAGAAAGCTATTAGGGATTTTTATTCTTTGCTAGGAAAATACGAAGTATCAGTCTGCTGGAGTTGCGCAGGCATCAGATATAATGCCATGTTTTGTGGGTGTTTGAAATATGTATTTGTAGTTCTGTCAGTGAGATACTTAATCTTTAAGTTTTTAGGTGTTTGTTTTGTTTTTTTGAAATGGCTAAAATGGGAATGATTGCTTATTACTTGTTAGAGGTGTAGGGCTGATGCCAGTTGGAAGAATGAAGTGGATTTCTATTTCTTTGCATGTGGGAAACCTCATTAAGTAGTATCAGTCGATTGGCTTTGCATGGACTGTTGTCATGTGTGCAAAGAACCTGGTTTGATTGCTATTACGGAACCAGCAAACTGACAATGTGTGAAATGGTATTTTTGCCAGCGAGCCATGTTAGATCTTCAGCTTGCCAACCCTGCAACTGTGGTCTGTGAAATACAGTGCTAATTGACTAAACATTTATAATGAATGCATATTAAGAAATCATCAACATTGAATCTTGTTATTATTCATTTAGAACCATGCTTAAGAAATGAGGAAGCAAAATGTCTGAGTCTTAATTTTAATTCCTTCTTCCTGTGAAATGGTTATGAATAACACCTCTCTGAAACCAACATCTACCTTTTCAAAATGTTCATATAAGAGAAAAACAAACTTAGTATTTTAAAATTATTTCCAAATATTCATTAAAAGCTAACCTGCGGCATGTTGAGTATCTTTTGGTTTACACCTAAAGAGAGTTAAGCTTTCATCTAATGCTGCTTCTGTTCTCCATGTTTTACTTGCATTGATAGGGAGCAGAATCTATATGACAACTTTTCGTCATGCTTTTCTGAAAATAGATGGGGTTAATGACTGACCTCAGAACTTCTTGGAAAACTATTAATGAAAAAGGAGCTTTTAATAGCTCTGATTTTTATTAAATTATACATATTAGTAGATAACAGATAATTAAATTTAAACTTGTTGGCAAATGTTTGGGTTCAGTCTTTCTCTATATTCCATACAAGCAAGTATTACACTGACCCTGATCATGATGGGTCCACTTCTTAGGACTGCTTGTTCAGAAAAGTCATGGTGGAGCAAGACTGAGCATGAATTTGAGCAGATACAGCTATACATTTGTGCAGTGACTTCTATTCTGGAATACAGGTAACTTTAATTGAGTTTGTCACTTTGAAATTTATACTAAACCAAAGAAAAGGTAACTTTGAGTTTGTCACTTTGAAATTTGTATTAAACCAAAGAAAGTTACTCTTGCTCTAAAAGAGGTTAACTTCAGTGTGAAGGAAATCACTTTCCGGTATTGCTTATTTGGAGTTTGCTTTCATTGGGCTATGACTTCCTTCCTACTACTGTGCTTCTATCAAACAAAGACAATCTATGAGTCTTTACTTTGAACAACAGAACAGAACAAATCTGTTCTTAATTTTCTAGGTATGGCCCATATTATCTGTTTAAAACCAACATTTTTTGACTCCACTAGGCTTTCTTTTAACATGTTGAATTGAGTTTTGTGCTTTACAAGTTTTCAATGCCTAACACTAATCCTATTACAACTATTTTCGTTTCACGTAGTATTCAAAAGGATTTTGACTATACAGAGAAAAACAAAAATACTTGCTTATAAATGCCATTGTTCAAGCAAAATGTTTTCAGTATTAAAGTATTTTAAAGATGATTGTGGCAAATTTTTACAATTAGACACTTTGAACATAGAGAATATGTAATGCAACTGACTTTCAGAGAGAAACGTGTTAAGACAATCTTCAATGGACTGTTCTGTCCATTCTGGAATATAAATTTTCAATTTTTCATTATATTATGAGAGCTTGCCTGAAACTTTTGATTCAGCTTGCATAATCTGTATTTGTTTAATATTGTTAAAACTCAGCAGGGAAAACCACTTGTTTCAAAGACAGTTCAGTAACCTTGAAATTTAAAGCACATGCCAAAGACTTCTGAGAATTTAGGAGTGTTAATATTTTTCTTTCTGTCTTTGAAGCTTTTATACCCTAGAAGAGAAGGGCAAACACTTAAAAGACAGTGAGGTTGTACATCTCGATACAATGTAGGAAAAAGTATACCTTCATCTCACTGGGGAAATCCTGCTTTCTTTGAAATATTGACGGTTTGAGCCAGGCTGATTTTATATCATGTCCTCAATGGGGAGGAAGAGATAGTGTCAGTTGCTAATTATCTACAAAATCTCCAGAAGCCTCAGGCTCAGATTACTGGAAAAAGTATCTTTTTATATTGTATTTGATTACTCTGAACTGCTGATTTCAAATAGATATCACTACATATTTTACTAGAAATGGTGCTTGACTTGATGGTACCTGAATGTGTCATAACCTTGCTGGTTTTATTTTGAAGGGGGGAAAAATGACAACAACAATAAAAAAGAGAGACAGAAAACATGCTTTTCTCCCAGAGTTCCTCCAGGATGCAGCCTGGCTCCTAGCAGTAGTTGTCCAGATTAGGAAGTGATGAGTTAACACTCCTTCCTGAGCTCTGCGTTAATAAACGGAGTCAGGAACTGCTGATTCTCATTGTAGGCCACTGAACAGACTAAGCTGATATTCAGCAGG